TTACAATTAGTCCACTGCTCTGGACTACAGCGTCCCGCTCTGTCCCTCTGTGATTCTTTCTTTCTGTCTTTCTTTCTTTTGCATCCTGGAAAGAAACATCTTAAAGGTCCATAAGCCAGATACATCCATCAGTATTATGTTCTTTCAGTGGCTCAGTGTAGCTTAGCATTTATATACCTATATCAACATCTTGGACACATTTTATAAGCTCGCTGCTAAAACCATCATGCATGATATGTTTCACTTTTTGTTTCTGTTAATGTGAACTTTTATATATGAATTTAACATAAATTGTACTCTTTCTCGTGTTTACATGTCAACCCAATTATGGACATATTCACATTTAAAAGGAATATATTGCAATGAAAAAATATAATATAAATATATATTTTCAATATGTTTATACAAAAATACCACTAGGGGCGCATCTATCAAATATTTCAATCTTTTGAAAATGTAAAAACATATTATTTAGAATATGTAAATATTCTGTAATAATAAAGAAAGCTCAAGATATTCTTCATTGTTAAGGACCAAACAATAAACAAACTATATTATTATTAATATTATTATTTTTTTTATTACAGACTTTGTTTATTTACTTTGCTATTTGTCCATACTTTATGACGTGCTATGAGGTAATAAAAACAGCTGCTGCTGAAAGAGACAGATGAGGATCAAAACTATGAAACCTACTTTACTTACAGCTGTGCGGAAGAGCTTTTCTGACGGGAAACAAAACTCACTCTTCTCCACTGCAGCGCTGCTCAATCCAAGATAACTGATGTATCATCGCTAGCTAACACACTTCATTTACAATCAGATACATTTAATGATTACACTCATTTACACTAATGACTGCTTTATTTTAATTCGGTTACTCAGTGTGGTATCGGATTCAGTATCAGCGAGTATAAAAAAATAGGCACTTGTACTCAGTCTGAAAAAATGATATCAATTAAAGCATTTAGCTTGATAAACATTTACCCAGTAGGTCTCTGAAGTCATGTGTCATTCTGTAGTTGATATTATTATTAACTGGTCTTATTATATCAGGAACTCTGGGTCTAATCTGGATTCCTTTAGGATAAACATGAATTTTTGTTTTGCAAAAATTGATGCTGTTGTGTCCTGTAGATAACCAATAGGTTCCAAACCTGATCTGTTTTGTCCTGTGTACATTTTCCCGCTGAATGTCTCTGGATCCTCTGAATGATGGGGTTAATAAGGATCCAAAGTCCACTCAAAAATGTTGAACTGGCTCTTGTTAAGGCTCTTGTTGTGCATTTTAGGAGAACATATGAATTATTAATTGAGTTGACATATTTAAAATGTACTTAAAGTAATAGTGTTGACTATTACTTTAAGTAATATTACTTAACTGTTTTGCGTTAGAAGACCGTTTTGATTAATTCCTGTATTCAAAGTTCTTTTTGGCTCCTGGCTCCATCTATTTGCATAGTGGGCGTGTCTTTCCCTTTGCTTTACTCACCATCTCTGTGTTGCCTTTTCTGTCGATACCAGGGGTCAGCAACATGTGGCTCTTTTACTGTCCCATTAGTTTAGAATTAGTTTAGTAGGTAAAAATAAAATTAATCCTCCTTTACAGTAAAATAAAGCTCTGCTGATCGTTCAACACAGTTTAACAATAAATGGTCTTAAACTCTGGAGTTAATGTAGAACTGCTGAATCACCCTTTAACCCTGAAGATCAGCGCAGACTGCTGGTCACCATAGCAACACAGACAACAGTCTCGCCCAGCTAGTAGCTAATGAAACGGCAAAGAGAGAGATTTAAGATGAACATACGATACGTGATACGTTTAATCTGCAACGAGAAACTGGCAAACACTAAAAAGTCACATCTCATTTACCAGCTTCTTGTTCGAATTCTCCCGTTCCACCTTAAATGGTGCTGCATTCTGGCACCTCAGGCACCATTTAAGGTGGAACGGGAAATTGAAGCTGGTGAATGAGAAGAGACTTCAGCCTCGTAAAAAAAGTCGAATGTTGAGAGACATTTTTACAAGAAACTGTTCTACTTTTGTGGAAAAGTTTCCTGCTGGAGATGTGAGAAAAGCAGCTATAGCTGAGCTAAAGCTTAAAGCAGAGCAGAGTAAGTCTGTGTTTCCATTATATTATATATTTAGCCTATACTAGGACATCAGCACATACTTAGCAGCAATGTTTTCTATACTTCAATAAAGTAAAGGTAAAAACTCTTTTTTTGAGGGGAACATTGCTACACCCATGCTAGCAGCAAACTAACACTACTGTGCACTGAAATTATGCCGCATGAAAGTATGTCTAGTACTATTTATTAACACCAGCTTCTACTAATGTACTCTACTGCTGCCAACGCAGTTCAAGCCCTTTTTGCAAGATGTTGCTTCAGGTTAACACACCCATTTCCTCACTTTACAATGACATGTTACATATTTAATGGTGAGTAATGAAGAGAAGACTCTGAATAAACCAAAAGCATGTATTTGGTCACATCATCTCCAGGTGGACATTTTTAAACCTGTTTTTGACCTGGTGCAGTGGATGACGAACCAGTCTCCCTCAGAAGAGCGAGTGTTTCATCCATCAAAAACTATGATTCACACCTCTTACAGAGCGTGAGTCATATTTTTGTTCATTTTTAATATTCAGTAACTTATAAATCATTTTATGAGAAATCGCTGTAATATGTTTGTTGCCTTGAAGCAACAGTGTAATGGATTTAGCCAGTAGCAAGTGAGGTGTCACATATGCAGCCATATCAGTGAATACTGCAGTTGTGATTTAGCATTTCATTTAGAAGTAGATTTTATTTAGAATCAATTTCTGTTTTTGCTTATTTTGGAAATTAAACTTAAGTATTTATTGCATCTGCAGCTTCCAGTCAATGATGCCTTGTAGCTGTCTGCATCCAATGTGTTTTACTGATAACATTTAGTGTGTATAGAAAATAAACAACAAATTTGAAATTTTTTTAATATAGTTTTAACTCTCATTTGTGGTTTTCAATAATTGTTTGGTGTTCAAGAAATCGAAACATTACTCCAAAAGGTTTTACTGTGTAAAAAAGGTTTATTTGAAAATAGCATGGAATAGAGTTATTCTGTGTTTTTGTAGCATTTTTAGTTTTTAAAGATCAACAAATTATGTAGCTACTCAGTGTCAAATATTTAGAGAGAAAAAATAATTTTTCCTGCATATTGCTCATTATCTTCATTGTTGCACAATGTTGCCTCAAGGCAACGTACCCCAGAAAGGACCCCCTATGTATTATTGTTTGAAAAAAATGTTTTGGATATTGTTTATTGGTTAGGTTCATTTTTTACAATAATTTTTTTTGCAAGAAAAATGAATCAAACTTTTTTAAACAATGCTCCACTAATGTAAGCAGTGGAGGCTTAAGTTGTGATGTCAGTTCAGTGCGCAGCAGCATTAGCTTGCATTTAGCAAAGTTCATATTTCTACTCCTTAACAACCTTGTAATTCGGAGGATTCAGGGTCATTCAGAGGAAAAATGCATGTTGGACAAAACGTGTCGACTCGAACAGTTTTCTTTACCATTCACTTTTCCCAGAAACAGCTCCGATCTGGAGCTCCGGCATTACGGCGACTACAGAATGACCACATGACTTCAGAGGTCTGTGGAACTGCAGTTTCATAAAAGCCATGAAGGTGTCAGTTATGCAAATGGATTCTTTTAATTTTTGATTTTTTTTTTCTTTTTTTCATTTTTATTGTTGAATTAATATAATTTAGTTTAAATATTAGTAGCAGCTCTACACATCTGGGAAACAGAGCCAAATATGATTTAATTTTAGATATATATGATTACAATGCTTCCTCAAATCTTAGCATGCAACTATTTGTATATACATTTTAAAAAGATGGTTCTTCAAGGGTTTTTTTAGTAAAGTGAATGGTTTTATTTAGAACCCTGAGCTCTACATAGAACCATTTCATGCTTACATGGGTCTCTGCATGGTGAAATCATTCTTCAGGTTGATGGAGAATGTGCTGTATTTGGTTCTATACAGCACCCAAAGGGTTCTGCTATTGTTATGATGTCAAGCTTGTTACAGTAGAAGGACCCTTTTTGGTGCTAGATAGATAGATAGATAGATAGATAGATGGACAGATAGATGGACAGATAGATGGACAGATAGACAGACAGATAGATAGATAGATAGATAGATAGATAGATAGATAGATAGACTGATAGATAGATAGATAGACTGATAGATAGAACTTTATTAATCCTGAAGGAAATTGCAGTGTCACAGTAGCGAGACTTATAACTGCACATAAACTTACATATATTAGGCAGAAATAAAAATAAACATAAATTTAATTTAATTAAATTTTCCATTTTTAAAATATTCTATATAGAACCATATACAGCACATTCTCCATCAATCTGAAGAACCATTTCACCTTGTTAAGGACCATTTAAGCATGAAAGGGCTCTATACAGAACTCATGCTTCTAAATAGAACCATTCCCTTTTAAGTTTTTCTGTCAAACTAATTATTATTATTATTTTTTTTTTTATTATTATTATTGTTATGTAATTCACAGAGCAGGTCGCGTCTATGCGGGTTTATTTATTAAATCTCGGACTGCTGTCTGTTGGGTGAGATTACATTGTAGCCACGCCCCCTGTAGACACATCGCGCGCTCATTGGCTGCTGGCTGGTGGCAGGATGTTTGCACCCGCCTCCTTATCTTTGCCAGGCACCTCGCGCTGCCACACGCTCTCGCGCGCAGAGCCGTCGCAGATGGCACGAGACGGACTGTGGAAGATTCCGCGCGTGAACGACTCGACGCGGACGGATTAACGCGGGAGGAGAGAGAGGGAGAGATAGATAGAGTGAGAGAGGAGAGATAGAGAGAGGGAGGAGAGAACGGCAGGGCGCTCGCGGGAGGGAGAAGAGGGGGAGAGTGACGGAGAAGCAGAAGAGGAGAGGACTCTCTCTCTCCGCTCTCTCTCCGGGCTGGAGGATGGCGGAGGCGGACGGTAAGGCCGGCTGTGGCCGGCAGGGGGCGCTGGCTGTGGGTCTGTCTCAGCCCGCTGGGTGGCGCTCTCTGCTCTCCATCACCATCCTCTTCCTGGCCTGGCTCGCGGGCTTCAGCTCCAGGCTGTTCGCCGTCATCCGCTTCGAGAGCGTCATCCACGAGTTCGACCCTTGGTGAGTTACTGAGGGAGGGAGGGAGGGAGGTTCTGTCTGGTCTCCAGCTTCAAGTTCACTCTGAGTCCAGTTCACTGTGTTCACTCTGAGTTCGGTTTGTCCCGTTCGCTGTAACAATCCGGTTCAACCCACTTCAGTCTGTTCACTCTTAAATCCGCTTTGTTGAAAATTCAGTTCAGTCTAAATTCAGTTCTATAACGTCATTCACCAAATTCACATCACGTTTATTATTATACAGTAAAACTGAATTCACTCCGGTTCCACTTTATTGTAAGTTCCTTTTGTTCTAGGGGTCAGTTTGGGTCAGTCTGAGTCCAGATTGATCTTATTCCAGTTTTTTTCACCTGGATTATTATAATAAATTGAAAATGGATTTCACTCTAATAGTCCAATTTATGTTAATAATCCAGTCTATCTGGGTTGGGGTGGGGAGTGTAGGGGCTTGGTGGGGAGTGGGGGCGGGGGGTGATTCTGGTGGTCAGTTTGGTGGTCAGTCTGAGTCCAGGTAACTATGTTCATGAGTATGAGTCCAGTTTGTCCTGTTCACTCTAACAATCTGGTTCTGTCTGGTCGCTTGTAAATCCGTTTTGTCGCAAATTCAGTTCGGTTCACTGACCACATTCACACAGCACAAAAAAAATCACATGTTTATTATTCAGCAGTGAAACTGACTTCACTCCAGTTCACTCTGGTTACAGTTCATTCTGAGTTTTTGTTCTAGTGGTCAGTTTGGGTCAGTCTAAGTCCAAATTAATCTTATACCGTTTTTTTTTTCACTCTAATAGTCTAATTTATTATAATAATCCAGGCTATGTATGGGGAGGGGGGCAGTAAGTAGTAGGTTTGGTGCGAGGTTAGGGCTCAGTCTGGTGGTCCGGTTCGCTGTGTTGACTCTAAGTCGGTTTGTCCCGTTTACTCTTAACAATCCGGTTCAGTCTGTTCACACATAATGTGAATTTTTGTGCTGTGTAAATAAGGTTAAACAGTACAAACATTCATATTATGTTTATTATTTAACAGTAAAACCGACTTCACTGCGGTTCAGTCTGGTTCAACTTCATTATAAGTTTCATTATAGGTTATTTTTTTTCTGGGGGTCAGTTTGGGTCAGTCTGAGTCTAGATTGAGTCCAGTCTGTTAACTCGTAAATCAGTTTTGTTGCAAATTCAGTTCAGTTCATTGACCTCATTCACACAGCAGAAGAAATCACATGTTTATTATTCAACAGAGAAACCAACTTCACAGTGCACTCAGGTCATTCTGAGCTACATTCTTTTTGTTCTAGGGGTCAGTTTGGGTCAGTCTGAGTCCAGAGTGATCTTATTCCATTTTTATTTCTCTCTGATAGTCAAATTTACTCTAATAATCCAGCCTAATACAGTCCATCATTCCGGTTCAGTCTGAGTCCAGGTCAGTCTGTTCTCTGTGAAGTCCTTTTCTACAGAAATGTGAGTGCATCATACAACACGGCTGTGAAGTTGAGGTAGAAGAGCAGCGCTCAGTGAAGAGATAAGCTTTCAAATCACTTTTAAAAAGAGGAAATGGATGAGCGGTCAGAAATATGTTAGGGCGAGGAGTTCCAGAGCTCAAGGGCCGTAGAACTAAAGGACAAAAGAAAAAGAAGACCACCTAACCTGGGGGGAACCAGCAGCCCAGAGCTGGATGACCTGAGGGATGTACAGATGGAGTTAGATATGGAGGTGCCAGACATGCAGAGCCTTAAAGGTAATGAGAATTATCTGTACTGAATACGTGAAGTAACGTGTGGCCAGTGTGACCGAGTACAGGACAGTGCGTCTGGTGTGGGTCAGAACTCCTGCAGCCGAGTTTTGAATATACTGCAGTCTATTTTAGGTGCTTGAAGGGAGATCGGTAAGAATAGAGTTACAGCAATCATGTTGAGAAGTGATATAAGCATGGATCGAAAGTCCAGTTTACTGGAAGGCCAGCTCAGTCTAATAATCCAGTCCAGGTCAGTCTAATAATCCAGTCTTTTCACTTTAAAACCTGTGTTGTTGAAAGTTTACTGTAAGTCCAGGACAGTCTAATAGTCCTGTCCCAGTCAGTCTGTTCACTCTGAAGTCAGTGTTGTTGAAAAGCTCAGTTTACTGTAAATCCAGGTTAGTCTAATAATCCAGTCCAGGTCAGTCTAATAATCCAGTCCAGGTCAGTCTGTTCACTCTAAAGTCTGTGTTGTTGAAAGTCCAGTTTACTGTAAGTCCAGGACAGTCTAATAGTCCAGTCTAGGTCAGTCTGTTCACTCCATAGTTTGAATTGGTGAAAGTTCAGTTTACTGTTAGTCCAGTTCAGTCTAATAATCCAATCCATGTTAGTCTAACAATCCAGTCCAGGTTATTCTGTTTGCTCTATAGTCTATTATTGAAAGTCCAGTTTACTGTAAATCCAGGTCAGTCTAATCATTCAGTCCAGGTCAGTCTAGTAATCCAGTCCAGTTCAGTCTGTTCACTCTGAAGTCTCTGTTGTTGAAAGTCCAGTTTGCTGTAAGTCTGGATCAGTCTAAATCGGTCTAATAATCTAGTCCAGGCCAGTCTAATAATCCAGGCCAGGTCAGTCTAGTAATCCAGTTTAGGTCAGTCTGATATGTGTGCTGCACGTATGAGGGACAGTAAATGGTTTAACCCTTTGCTGGCTGACAGTTGAAAGCTAACTAAGGCAGCTGCTGTGTTATTTATCACTCATATGCAAAGCAGACGTACCTAAAAATAGCAGTATCTCCTACTGCTCATTTTAATTCACAGTTTCTATTTATTTGCTGAGTTTATCGTGTTTTTAAAAACAATATGTATATAAAACAGTAGAAGTTTTCACAGACCACATTTTATGTTGTCCCCACAATAGATTAAGTTCAGTAAACAGACAGTAATTGTGTGTTAAAGTGTGCAGCAGTGTGTCTCTGTAGAAGAAGTGTTACTTATTTACACTTGGAACATCAACAACAACAACATGGAGTTTGACCAGGGGTGCAGAAGCCTTTGCACATGGCTGTTGATGTGAATATCAGAGATCAGCATCAGTCCGTAACTCTGATATCGCTGCGTCTCTAAGTTCCTTTAGTCTGACGGTTTTCTTTTCTGTAAGATCCAAACAGCTGTTTGTTATGAATGACTGAAAATGAACAGAGAAAAGATTAATAATATAATGCTGAGAAGCTGAAGGTGTCAAAGGGATTTTGCAGCTTGCTACTCTGAAGCAGTCTGTGTGTTATTGAGTGTGTGATCCAGCGGCACAGCGTCCTGTATTTCGGCTGCTTCGCTTTCAGGTCCCGGGCGGTTGGTGGAATGTGACCTGACAGGTCAAAGTGACAGTGTAAATGCGACCTGGCAGGCCAAAATGACTGAATCCCTGGAGTAATCAGATCCCATCGCTAAGCTAATGGACTCACTCAGGCGACTCAGCAGCACTAAAGAACTTCCTCGGGCTGCGGCGTTCTCTGTCTGTCTGCATTACGCTGAAGACAGACTACGGCAGTTTACGATAGCGCCGTCTCGATTAATCGATTAAAACATAATCGATTCAAATGTGCCTTATCGAAGGATTTCACGCGGATCAGTGTACAGTTTGATATGATAATGCAGATTTTTAATTGTCCTACTGCTTTATTTTAGTAAGAAGTCTGATATATAAATACAGTTATATGCAAATATCTCCCACATATGCTGATACTTCTTAAATATTGTTTATATATTGTTATGAGCATTGTGATGACTAATATCTCCTATTCTAGTGTATAGGTGTTTGATGAGTTTGTTTATAGACTAATATCTCCTATTTTAGTGTATAGGAGTGATTATTGAGGTTGTTTGAGGACTAATATCTCATATTTTAATGTATATGAGTGTTTATTGAGTTTGTTTATGGACTAATATCTCCTGGTGTATAGGAGTGATTATTGAGGTTGTTTATGGACTAATATCTCCTGGTGTATAGGAGTGATTATTGAGGTTGTTTATGGACTAATATCTCCTGGTGTATAGGAGTGATTATTGAGGTTGTTTATGGACTAATATCTCCTAGTTTATAGGAGTGTTTACTGTGGTTGTTAATGGACTAATCTCCTTTTTAGTGTATGGGAGTGTTTATTAAGGTTCCTTATTGGCTAACATTATGTGTAATAACCTTGATTGATGATGTTTATGGACTAATATCTCTTATGCTAGTGTACAGGAGTGTTTATTTATGTTCCTAATTGGCTAATATCTCCTATTCTAGTGTATAATAATAATAATAATATATAGAGTTTTTTTGTGGACAAATATAAGACGTATACAACGTTTTGAGCACAACTATGTATCAAAACAGTATTACACTGCTAAAGTAATCCATAATGCACTGCAGATCCACAGAGGAACATTTCATTCACAGCAGAAAGAGCAACAAAGAGTATATCAGCCCACCAAAGAGTATATCGGCCCAACAAAGAGTATATCAGCCCAACAAAGAGTATATCGGCCCACCAAAGAGTATATCGGCCCAGCAAAGAGTATATCGGCCCAGCAAAGAGTATATCGGCCCAGCAAAGAGTATATCGGCCCAGCAAAGAGTATATCGGCCCAACAAAGAGTATATCAGCCCACCAAAGAGTATATCGGCCCAACAAAGAGTATATCAGCCCACCAAAGAGTATATCAGCGCAACAAATAGTATATCAGCCCAACAAAGAGTATATCAGCCCAACAAAGAGTATATCAGCGCAACAAAGAGTATATCAGCCCACCAAAGAGTATATCAGCGCAACAAAGAGTATATCAGCCCACCAAAGAGTATATCAGCGCAACAAAGAGTATATCAGCCCACCAAAGAGTATATCAGCGCAACAAAGAGTATATCAGCCCACCAAAGAGTATATCAGCGCAACAAAGAGTATATCAGCCCACCAAAGAGTATATCAGCGCAACAAAGAGTATATCAGCCCACCAAAGAGTATATCAGCCCAACAAATAGTATATCAGCGCAACAAAGAGTATATCAGCCCAACAAAG